GGGGTTTTAGGTGTCAAAACATTTTTTAGGGTTTATAATTTTAAGATATAGGCTCTAAAAAATCTATATTTAGTGGCATTTTTGTAAATGGACACCCCTAAGTGGCATTCTTGCAAATGTGCACACAAAAAGTGGCATTTTTGTAATTGTCCCAACATTGTAATACCATAATTTAAAATAAATAAATTTTTTTAAGTTTCGATACATATAAAGTAAAAAATTAAGGGGTAATTGCAAAAATGCCACTTATGGTGTGTACATTTGCAAGAATGCCACTTAAAGATATACATTTGTAAAAATACCACTAATTATGGATTTTTAAAGCTTAAATCTTAAAAATATAAACCCTAAAAATGTTTGGGAATGTTATTGAAATAGCCTCAAATTGTTGGTCAAATACAAATCTACACCCTTCTTTCTCTCTCACCAATTTTTTTTCAAACCAACCATATAATTCAACTTATTTACGGAAATCCCATTAAATTTGAATTTTTTTTTAAACAAAAAATCAGACATTCAAAACACACAAACAAACACCCAAATATATCAACTTATTTACGAAAATGCAATTATCATCAATATTTTCAACCACCATGAACAACCAAAATCAAGCTCTAAATGCTTCCCCAACCGATTTGTCGTGGATAAGAGCTTCATTTGTGAGCTCATAACTTCGTCCTCACCCATTTCCTCTCCAATTTCATCCAAAAACCTATCTAAAAATTTGGTTTTCAAAATTCTTTCTCTCATAATCTATCGATTTTCAATGGTTCTTGCATAAACGACGGCTGGGCTTCTTTGTTAACGCTCAGATTATAAGTTTCAGGTGCTTTAAGGAGCTGAAAACCGAGCTCTACGGCAGAGACGAAGCTGAAAACCGTGTTTTTTTATCTATTTCGCGATAGTAGACTGCATAAGAAGTCTGCTAGTCAACAAAAAGTTATATTTGCAATTGACTTTTTTAAAATATATTCAAAGCAAACTGCTCGTGAAGTCTGTTTGTTTTCCTTTGATAACAAAAAAAAACACTCGTAGACTTCACATGAAGTCTACTTGAAAATGGATTAGTTTTGCATTTGACCAAAACTTTGACTTTATAAA